AAAAAGAATCCACTCCAAAACTACTAGATCTAATATCTGAATTCAGCAAAGTTGCAGAATACAAAATTAATACACAGAAATCTGTTGCATTCGTATACACTAACAATGAACTAGCAGAGAGATCAAGAAAACAATTCCATTCACAATTGCATCAAAAAGAATAAAATACCTAGGAATACCTAACCAAGGAAGTGAAAGACCTATACTCTAAAAACTACAAGACACTCATGAGAGAAATTATAGAACATACCAATAAATGGAAACACATTCTGTGCTTATGGATAGGAAGAATTAATACTGTCAAAATGGCCATCCTACCTAAAGCAATCTACAGATTCAATGCAATCCCTATCAAATACCAACAGCATTCTTCAACGAACTGAGCAAATAGTTCTAAAATTCATATGGAACCACAAAAACCCCGAATAGCCAAAGCAATCCTGAGAAGGAAGAATAAAGCTGGGGGGATTACCATCCCTGACTTCAAACTCTACTACAAAGCCACAGCAATCAAGTCAATTTGGTATTGGCACAAGAACAGACCCATAGACCAATGGAACAGATTAGAGAGCCAGATATAAACCCAAGCATATATAGTCAATTAATATATGATAAAGGAGCCATGGAGATACAATGGGGAAATGACAACCTCTTCAACAACTGGTGTTGGCAAAACTGGACAGCTACATGCAAGAGAAGGAAACTGGATTATTGTCTATCCCCATACACAAAAGTAAACTCGAAATGGATCAAAGACCTGAATGTAAGTCATGAAACCATAAAACTCTTAGAAGAAAACATAGGCAAAAATCTCCTGAATAGAAACATGTGCAACTTTTTTCTGAACGCATCTCCTTGAGCAAGGGAAACAAAAGCAAAAATGAACACATGGGACTACATTAAACTAAAAAGCTTTTGCACAGCAAAACAACAGAACAAAAAGGCATCCTACATATGGGATAATATATTTGTAAACATATCTAAGAAGGGGTTAACATCCAAAATATATAAAGAACTCACACACCTCAACACCCAAAAAGCAAATAACCTGATTAAAAAATGGGCGGAGGATATGAACAGACTCTTCTCCAAAGAAGAAATTCAGATGGCCAACAGGCACATTAAAAGATGCTCCACATCATTAATTATCATGGAAATGCAAATCAAAACTACAATGAGATATCACCTCACACCAGTTAGGATGGCCAGAATTGAAAAGACTAAGAACAACAAATGCTGGGGAGGATGCAGAGAAAGAGGAACCCTCCTACACTGCTGGTGGGAATGTAAGCTAGTTCAACCATTGTGGAAAGCAATAGGGAGGTTCCTCAAAAAACTAAAAATAGAAATACCATTTGACCCAGGAATTCCACTTCTAGGAATTTACGAGAATATAATTTCTCAGATTCAAAAAGAACGTATGCACCGCTCTGTTTATTACAGCACTATTTACAATCGCCAAGATATAGAAGCAACCTAAGTGTCCATCAGTAGATGCCTGGATAAAGAAGATGTGGTATATATACACAATGGAATACTATTCAGCCATAAGAAAGAAACAAATCCTATCATTTGCCACAATATGGATGGAGCTGGAGGATATTATGCTCAGTGAAATAAGCCAGGCAGAGAAAGAGAAGTACCAAATGATTTCCCTCATTTGTGGAGTATAATAACAAAGCAAAACTGAAGGAACAAAACAGCAACAGACTCCAGACTCCAAGAAGGAACTAGCGTTTACCAAAGATGAAGGGTTGGGGAGGGTGGGTGGGGAGGGAGGGAGAAGGGTATTGAGAGGTATTATGATTGGCACACATGGTGTGGGGAGGGGTCATGGGGAAGACAGCACAGTGAAAGCAAATAGTGTCTTTGTGGCATCCTACTATACTGATGGGCAGTGACTGCAGTGGGGTATGGGGGCTACACAACAACATGGGTGAATGTAGTAACCACATTGTTTTTCATGTGAAACCTTCATAAGTGTGCATATCAATAATATCTTTATAAAAAAAGAAATAAAAAAATTACCATATGGTAATAGCTGCAAAGAGGTGATACGTGGAGACTTAAGTTGGGGGAGTTTGGGCCTGAACAAAGGGGAATGAGGTGTAGACTCCTTCAATAAGGTATGTTTTCTCTTACATTCTTACAGCTTCATAGCTTATGAAATACTTTAATATACATCATCTCTTTCTCCAGATATCAAAAGTTATAAGCATCTGCCTCAAAACAGTGTACAGTACATCCCATCTTCTGCAGAATTTGGAATGAAAAGATAGATGGAACATAGTAGAAAAATCTGCAGAACTAGAAAAAAAATGACTAAAATAAACATTGTATATTGCTGGTCCTTCATGAACAGCACTGCTGTAACTTTGTACACAGACGTAAGAACAATAGAATCATGAAGCCTGGAAACCAGATGCAAGTCAAAGTTAATAGGATCCTGGGATTACTATGCTATCGGCAGAAATATTTTTGCTCGAATTCTTACTCGGGCTCATGCACACCGTTTTATCTATTTTACCCATCATTCTCCCTCTCTATGTATCCGACAGCAGGCTAGAGCATTCTGCCATGAAGATTTATTGGAATATTTCTATAAAACTGTATGTGACCTTGGTAGGATTCGATCCCTCCTTTGGTGATTCAAGTCCCACCCTTGTCTTTTCTGGTGAAATTATCTGAAGATACTATTTGCAAGTTGACCCAGCTCTTCAAACTGCTACTGCAGATGCAGTATCATACAAAAACAGGCAAAATCATGATGTAGTTTTCATCTCCCCAAACAGCTATCTTATGCATTTCAACTCAGTATTTACCCAGGGCTTTCTTAGCATTAATAAAACTATCTAAAAAATTCTTAACACATCTTTATGACACTGGAAGAATCCTTTGGTAATCTTATTAGGGAAGATATTTCTGGAAAAGGAAAAAAAGTAAATGGGAAGCGATTACATTGGTAAGTGTTCTGGGTTCCAGACATTAGGCCCAAATCAACTTACTTAATTCTTAAAAGAGTACATACCTAGGGATACTATTACCCTCATTTTATTTATTGAGAAAAAATTCAAAAAAGTAAATTGACCAAAGTAAGTAATAAGTAGGAAAGCTAGTAATGAAATTGGTCTGGCCTGAAAGTCAATCATCTTCCCAAGACTGCACAGTGCATCCAGTAAAAAATACTGCCAGAGAGCTTGAGAAAATAGCTCCAAGAATTCTACCTTCTGGATCTAGTGTTTCATTTCCAGGTAACACAAGGAAACATTTTCCAATTGCTTGAATATTTAATAGTACAGGAAATGAAAACAAATTGCAGTACGTGGCCTTTACTGTTTGTTTCATAACAGAGACGGAAAAGAGAGTTTTATTTTAGTGGAAAAAAAAGTACCACATTACAAGTAAAAGTGTGTCTACAAAGGGTAAGTCATTTGGCATTTTGGATGAGAGCGAATTCATGTTAAAAGGATTCTGAAGTTTTCCTTCCCACTCACTGCTCGGCGACTACTGCTTAGATGCACCCCTTCCTCTCCTGCCATCTCCATCTACCTATTACCTTCTTAGGAATATTTCACTGTCAAAAGCAGCTCGGTTTGGTGAGAGCAGCAGTCTTATTTGCCCCTTCCCTGGCTTTGTCCTAATGGAAGAGGACCCTCTTGAAGCCCTCTGCTGCTTTCAGAGGAGAGGCCAGCAATTCACTGAGAAGGCCATTTCTTAGCTAAGCTGCCCTGTCCTTCCCCGCTGCACTGCTCTCTGCAGCTTCCAGCTCGGATGAAACAAACTTTTTCTTTGAGCCTCTCAATTGTCACCTCTCTATCCAGCTTGCATCCCCGGGGCTAAAAGAAATCTTGATCAGAACTCTAAGTGGGTCATAATACCTTTTATTAAGCAGGAACCTGTAAATACCGACTTGAGGCTGTCCAAGGTGTTTGTATCCAACAAGGTCAGGAAATGGCCGTGTTTGGATTAACCATATTTTCTTATAACTAGTTCTCACTTGTCATATACATACCAGACTTATTTTCAAAGAGACAATGTCAATACATTTTTGTGATTGCTTTTTCTATTTCTGTCTCCAGATTCATTCTCTTCCCTTCTCTGCCGTGCTCTGTGCTCCAACATGTCAAACTCTGTGTACTAAATGGCATGACTCAGGCGCTCTGGCCGCTGGCTCCCGGGTGCATGCAGCCAATCGGAAGCACTGACAAGAGGCCCGAGGGCGGGAGGCTCGGATACTGACCTGCCTCTGACTGTCTCTGGGCCACTTTTCCTCTTCCAGGGCTCTTGTCCTCACTGGGCTGCAGGAACTTTCTCCCTCTGCCCCTCCGTCCCAGGGGCAGCACTGCCACTAAGCCCTGGCTGCCTCTCCATCCACTGCCAGTTCCTTTAACACACCCTGCTCTGCTGTAAATAGGCCCTTCATTAAACACTCTTCAGGAGCCCTTCCAGGGTGACATCTGAGCCCCACCAGGACCCCGACTGACATCACTGCAATTGCCCTTCGGTGTTTTGTAAGTGATCTTGATGCGCTGTTCTGAGAAGTGTGGCAAACACGAAAGATAAATGAGACACACTGCTGTCCTTACCCTGCTTGAGAATCTAGCCAGGGACATAAAATCATCAAAAGCACATCATACTCTGTCAATCAAGGCAATATCCAAGACCTAAACTTGTCCTATGACCCTGCCCTCCACCCAGACATACCGGTCTTCGGTCCCATTCACACAGGGCCAGTGTAATGATCTAGGAAACAGTGGCCAGGCGTGTGGCAGACCATGGCTCTCTGTCCACGGATGACAGCAAAATTGGTCCTGGACTCCTTTGCCTCACGCCTCCAATGCCATCTCACCACAAACTCCTGCAGGTTGTATCTCTTAAAATCCCTCAACTTCACCCAACTTTTCTTTCGTGCTCCTGTCCCACTCTAGCAGAAGGCAGGATGGTTTCTCATCTCAATTTCTGCAACGACTGTCCGCTGCCTCCCTAGCCTCCAGTCTTGCCTCCTTCCGGTCCATGCTTTAAGCCAAACCCAAAGGCTCTTTGTTACGTCATCCCACTGCTTTAGGCCCTTCCTAGGATAGAGTCCAAGCCATGAAATGGCGTAGCTCTGATGGTGACAACCTCTCCAGACTCGCTCCCCCTTCTTTATAGCCTGCCTCCCAGTCTGAGCTTCCTCCGGTTCCTTAACAGAACTCTGTCTTTCCCCAGCGTGGTGCCTAGACTCATACTCTCTCCTCTGCTGTGGACACCTTCACTGTCTTCCTACCCTTCTCTCCTGGCTAACTTCTATTTTATCATTCAAGTGTTGGCAGACACATCACTTCCTCTGACAATCATTCCTGTTGCCACCACCCACCTGCCTCCAAAAACAAAGTTTGCATTCAGTGGTTTTCCTGTGATGAAGCTTCTGCAGCATCCTTTATTTCCCTCAGCACCTTCCTACAGTATTCTTGTAATCACCAGCTTATACAGTCCCTCCCTGACAGTAAGCTATGTCAGGGCAAGAACCTGGTCACTGCTCAGCCTCAGCACTTAGGAAAGAACCTCCATGGTCGAAACTATTTAACCACTGAAATTTAAAAGAAGGAAAGAAATTTCAACCAGGTTTTCTGGGCAACAATGTCAAAATTCTTATTCCGGTATAATCTAGGAGCAAAGGGAGTATCTGTCAACAGACACGGGCCTCTGAATGTCCAAGGAGATGTTCTAAATGTACCTGCAGCTCTCTGTGTCCTAAACCCATCCTTCACTAAGGAAAATAAAATCCGAGGCCTGTGTCAAAGGAAGTGAGGCAGAGACTGCTCTGTGAGCCCCCTGCCCCCTTCTCTCCTTCCCAGGATAGGTGATGCCTGCTTGAATAGAGGAAGCCGATATGACAGCCTTGGAGTTGTTTTCAGAGGTTTCATTATCTCAGCTGGAAAATCCTGGACAGGTTTTGCAAACCAAATGGAGTTCAATTAATATATCAAAAGCAAAGGATCAAGACCTAAATACTGAGAGTCAATAGCCAGATGATCAAGTTCAGCCTCTTGAAATGATCTTAAGAGGGTAAACTGAGATTTTCCTGAAATGGTGCTGAGAGACATGGGAATGGACTAAAATGAAGTCATTTTATTGTACATTGATGAAATCACAGAACCAGGCTTGATGAGCCCTCTCCTCAACTCTTTTTCTCAAGGCAAACCAAAGACAGTTAAATTCCTTTTTTAATTAGATTACCATTGCCAGGGAAACCTTACTAATTCATCTCCCAGTGATTAAAAATGTATGATAATGAGGATGAATACTGAAGTTTATCTATGGGGAAACAAATTTTCTTAAAAATAACAAGGCTATGAAAACATTTTTTAAGCTCATTAAAACAAACCTTCTGTGCACTCTGTTGTATGCAAAGATGCAAACTATATAAGGACTTTTACTGAGAAAAACATAGGCTTAGCCATTCATGTTCATCTCCTCTCCCCTAAAAGATCCCAGTGAACAAGACAAAACAAAACAGTAAAATAGGTATAAACCTACAAGAGAGTAAGGTAAGAAAGAGTTCAATATGTATTTGAAGGACAGATGATGATGGAGCCCAGTAACTGTCTGCAGAATGGAGGGAGAGCATAAAACGTTATAAAGTAAAGGGCTGCAGAAAGGATTCCAGTGAAGGGTGAGCCCCCTGGCTTTGCACAACTTGCAAGGGCTTGTAACACCGAGACAGAGAGAGTTAGAGCTGGTGCAGGGCTGAAAGCAAGGGCACTATGTGAGGTCTCTCAGCTGAGTGGTGGGACTCTCAAAAAGTTGGTGGCCAAAGGGAGGGGCTCAAGATGGTGGCGTGAGTAGGGCGGCAGAAATCTCCTCCCAAAAACATACATATTTTTGAAAATACAACAAATACAACTATGCATAAAAGAGAGAACAGAAGATACAGTACAACAGCCAGGCTACATCTACATCTGCAAGAACTCAGCATCTCACCAAAAGGGTAAGTTACAAAGCCATGACCCGGTGGGACCTGAGCACTCCCCCCATACCCCAGCTCACCAGCAGGAGGAAAGGAGTCAGAGTGAGGAGGGAGAAGAAGTGCAGGACTGCTAAATAACCAGCCCTAGTAATCTGCACTGGGAGCACAGACACACATTGCGTAGTGTACTGGATATTAGAGAAACGGAAAAGTAAAATCTGAGATGGAGACTGCGAGCGGGTCCCCACAGCCGGCTCCCCTGGGACAAAAGGAAAGTGTGTGCCATTTAAAAGTCTTAAAGGGACAAGGGCTCAACAGCTGGACAAAATTATCTTGGCACACTCAGCCCAGAAAGCTGGGAATCCTACAGAACTTCAGGTGCACCAACCCACTGGGGGAGTAACCCAGTTCCAAAGCCCCTCATGGCGATAAGCAGCCTGCCATTCATTGCCCCCCGCCGGCGCTGTAAGCAAACAAGCTGACCCGCCACAGCAGTAGAGCAGCGGGAGAGAGACCCCGCCCACAGCAACCACACAGTCTTCTTCCAGCACGCAGCTAAGTGCGACAGACCCAGAGGCTGCTGCTGGCGCATAGCTGCCCAGCACACAGAGAGGGAGCCGGAGCAAGGCACGAAGGGGTGCCATTCTCGCAGGAGAACACACCCTATGCATCTGCCACTCCCTGCAGGGCTCTGGGCTATCCTGAGGGCTGCACTCTCTTAATAAGAGAGTGATCTGAGAAGTTGGTTGGTAGAATTTCAATCTTTTTGAATTTACTGAGGCTCTTTTTTGTGGCCTTGTATGTGGTCTATTCTGGAAAATGTTCCATGTGCACTTGAGAAAAATGTTTATCCTGCTGCTTTTGGCTGTAGAGTTCTGTAGATGTCTGTTAGATCCATCTGTTCTAGTGTGTTGTTCAGTGCCTCTGTGTCCTTACTTGTTTTCTGTCTGGTGGATCTGTCCTTTGGAGTGAGTGGTGTGTTGAAGTCTCCTAGAATGAATGCATTGCATTCTATTTCCTTGTTTAATTCTGTTAGTATTTGTTTCACATGTCAGTGCTCCTGTGTTGGGTGCATATATATTTATAATGGTTATATCCTCTTGTTGGACTGAGCCCTTTATCATTATGTAATGTCCTTCTTTGTCTCTTGTTACTTTCTTTGTTTTGAAGTCTATTTTGTCTGATACAAGTACTGCAACACCTGCTTTTTTCTCCCTGTGGTTTGCATGAACAAAGAAAAAAACTGAAGGAATAAAACAGCAGCAGACTCACAGAACCCAAGAATGGACTAACAGTTACCAAAGGGAAAGGGATTGGAGGGGATGTGCAGGAAGGTAGGGATAAGGGGAAAAAAAGGGGCATTACTATTAGCAGATATAATGTAGGGGGGTCACGGGTAGGGCTGTACAACACCGAGAAGACAAGTAATGATTTTATAGCATCTTACTACACTGATGGACAGTGACTGTAACAGGTTATGTGGGGGGTACTTGATGATGGGGGGAATCTAGTAAACATAATGTTGCTCATGTAATTGTAGATTAATGATACCAAAAAAAAAAAGTTGGCAGCCAAGTGTTCTCCCAGTCTCCCCCAACTTCCTACACCCAAGGCAAGGGACTGAATGGTTCATCCCTAATTAACTCAATGGACCCAGAAAAACTTCAATATTTGCAGAAGTTGAAGCAGTTTCTTAGAAGGCTGATTCACCAAGCAATAACTACATGAATTCTCAACAACTGATAAGTCTTTCTTCCCAAACACATAGGTTCCAACAGGTTTCTTAGTTTCTCAGCTTAAAAAAATGAACAGATAGTGAAGGAGTACCAGACATTTGACAAAACCTCCAGCAAAGAAGATGGAAATCCAAACAAACAAGCAGGAAAAAAAGGTAACTGGAGAAACGAAGAGCACAAAGAAAAATTAACGAAACTAACAGACTAATAGTCTCCAAGAACTAAGAGAAAATATAGCATTTATAAAACAAGAACAGAGTTCTATTAAAAAGGAACATTCAGAGAACAAAAAGAACTAAAATAAATGGCTGAAATTTAAACAGAATATATTCATGAGAAGGGTCAAGAAATAAAGTAAAAACATGTGATGGAAGTAACTGAGAGAGAAACAGATTTAGAAGACAAATCTAGGGGGTCTGGTATCCTTCTTAGAGGGAATGCAGAAAGAGAGAACAAAGGAAAAAAAGAGGACATTATAAATAAGAAATGTGGGAAAATGTCCCAGATCTAGGTCATGAGTATCAGAATAGATTTACAAATGGGCTGTGAAATAAATGATCAACACCCATTACTTAAAACAAATAATAAACCTTTAAGATTCATTTGATTTTTAAACTGCTTTTGTTGTTTTGGTAATATTTACAGTTTCATTTAAAATAACTTTAAAAAGGGAGTGTCTTCCATATATTCTTGGGTCTGTTATGAATACTGCACAGCATGCTTCCTTATTTTGTCTTCCTGAGTATACTTAATAATAATACAACTATTTAGGATTTTATTTCATATTTCAGACTTCTGACTAATTCAGCCCAACCTTTCCAAACTTCCCTTTCCAAACCACCTTTAAACAAAATGTTGAAATGTTACTATATGTCTCAATTCCTGTATTTCTCAAATGTACAAAGTGAGAACTGTTCAATCAACCACCAAGGTCATGTCTCTACTTAAGCATTTCCTTTCTATAGTAACAAAATATTTCACAAGGGGTTGTCTAGGTGAGAAGAAAGGAAAGATAGGTAGCTAGGTACAGATAATAGATAGATAAAGATGGATGGATGGATAGATAGATAGATAGATAGATAGATAGATAGATAGATAGATAGATAGATAGATAGATAGATAGATAGAAGGATAGATAGATAGATAGATAGATAGATAGATAGATAGATAGATAGATAGATAGAGGCAGGTGAAAAATATGACCAAAATGGTACTCCTGGTGGTAGAGGAAAGTCCACATTTTCAAATGAAAGTGGTAGATCATCTAAAAGATAATCCTCATGATTTTTTGTTTTTAGTTTTAAGCATTATGGTAAATGTTTAACTTATTTTTTAATATTACAGTTGAAAAAACCAGAACATATATTTTGTTCACAATATACATAGCCAACTACAAGCAGTTCCATGGCCATGTGAAGAGGCATCCAGTTCCAGCAACACTGTAGTCTACAAAAATTCAGAAACTCTTCTGTTATGAACACCTGGATATATTAGGTAAGATATAATAAGAAAAGTTTGCTTGATTATGTTTTAATGTAATTCTGAGATTTAAAGAAAGAAAAGGAAACTCCCAGTTGTCAAAAAAAAAAGGGTGAGAAGGCGTTGGAAAGCAGGGTAGCATTTAAGCTGATCATGAGGCATGCCTGGGAAAGTGGAGTGGGGCTGTGGTCTTGGCAGGTGGTGGGTTGGGTACTGGTGGGTGGGCTGAGGACTTGGAGCTTGTTACATAGATGATAATTAAGGCTTAGAGAGCCCATGAGTTGGGAAACTGAAACCAGGTTCCTGCAGAAAGCCAGCAATTTCAAAAGGCTAAAAATCTTTGTGAAACAAAGTTGTACAACATAATCTCTGATCAACAGCTTGGGGAGATGACCTGGAAACTTCTCAGGGAATCCCACCCCTGCACCACCTGGCACCCAGGAATGAAGCTATTTTGACAGAAAGCAGCATTTCTGTCATGGTTATGCTGCCAGGAACTAAAAGATGCGTACGTTGTCATCTCATCATCACAGCAGTTATACATGGTCAGTATTATTAAGTGTGTTTTATAGATAAGGAAGCTGGCAATCAGAGAGATTAGATGATTTGTCTAAAGTTAAAGGGAGTAAGTGACAGAATTGGGATTCAAACCTCAACTCTGGAGTTATAGTCACTGATATTTACAGGTAGTTAATTTGGACCTCCGTTTTAGATATTTACACTGTGCCCACTTATCATAGCACCATTATAAATTAATTTCACATTTTTCCTTTGTTTCCAAAATGTAATGTCAATCATGATCTGCTGGCAATAATTTCAGTTATAAAGACCACCAT